TTGGATCGAGAGAACAAATTTATGAGCCTATTTGTTCTGAATTAAAATCTGATTCTAATCAAAGTCAAAGTCAAACAATCAATATTAACTACATTTTATGAATCCCGCAACTTTTCAACCACACATTTCAAAATTTTCTATCACAATCTACTAAAAATCTAATTTAAATCTCTACCAAACAATATACCAATGACATTTTTTTTTTCTTTCTAATTTATTTACATTCCAATTTATATGAAATCTCCATATTTATGAAAGTGGATGAACTTAAACTCTTGTAAATGTCCAAAAAAAAATAAAAAAATAGAATTGGACCTCGTATGTTTCTTAATCGTTACACTGCCACCTAAATCGATGCTAGCATTATTCCAACAAAAAGGCCAAATATTTAAACTAAGGGTTCGTTTAATTGCAATTGTGGAAAATGGGTGGAAAGAAAATGAATTTCAGAGAAAATAATTGTCTAGAAATTATTTTGTAGGGGATTCGTATAATTTTTCACCAGGAAAATTTTTAAATTTTATGTTCGTTTAACTTTATTTTACATGAAAATTGTCCATTAAAATGATATTTTTTTCTCAATTAGTTATAAAATTTGTTTCCATTGTCAAAAAGAAAAAAAATTCCTAAAAAATTATTATTTTTAATCAAAATTTAGTGTTCGTTTGACTTTATTTTACATGAAAATTGTCCATTAAAGTGAATTTTTTTTTTTCAATTGGTTATGAAATTTATTTCCATTGCAATAAAAAAAAAAAGGTTTTCAGCCAGCCGGAAAATTTTTTCTCACCAAAAAGGCGGGAAAACGTTTTCATCAAAAAGCCGNAAAATGATGGGAAAATGCTTTCCCTCAACTCAAAGAAATAGGGAGTGTGGGGGTGGGGAAATATTTTGCCTAGAAAATATTGCCTATTAAACAACCTAAAAGCAAGAAAATAAATTTTTTTTTTCCAACTTCCACGGAAAAAATGGCTTATCAAACATGGCCAAAGTTTTCTATCAGACAAAGGAAAATTTATAGGATAATTGATATTGGCAAATTCAATCAACTGCCCCCACAAATCCAGGAGGATAATTTGGGTAATAATAAACTTACAATAATAGCATATTCTCTGCGAATAGTTTAAAGAATTTCTATACATGCCCCCACATTATCCTGTGCAGAAATCATCTGGCTGTACAGATGGCGAAGGGTCATTTTTGTACTAAAAAATAAAACTGTAGTCATTGATATAATTTAGTTGATATACAATATAATTAATGAACAAGATTTTAACTTATTTTTTATAAACGGCTGTCATACGTGGAGATTCAAGAGAAGGCAGATCATCACTGCAGAAAGTAGTTAGACCATGGAAGCTGCTCTACTATATCATTCAGGTTTCTATTTAGACTACGCAGCGATTGAATGTGAGGCTCATCTTCTTGAACAGGCAGTATTTTAGCAAAAGTTCCTTCCTCGAGATAGTCGATGATTCTGTTGGCAGCCTCGAGCCCAGTTACATAAGATTTCTCCTGATGAAATGAATAAACTAGCTAGTCAACCATCTTGGAGCAAAAAGTGAAGTTTAATTTAATAGATGAGAACAAAATAACTTTTAACCTGTGACCATGAACCGTGGCGGCTTATTATCCAATCTCCAGCCATATACAAGTTTGGAAAAGACGTAGATCCTCGCATCATATACTTGTACGAACCTAAAAGAATGATGGAATTAAGTACGAGTTAACAGCAAAAAAAAAAGCTTTATCAGAACTCATAATTGCTCAAACGCAGTGAAATTTACGTTATGAAATCAAAGAAGTATCATAAGATATTTGAGGGAGTTGATTACCAACAGAAAGTTACCTGGAAAGAAATGAGTCAAAGATTTGGGAAATCTTTCAATTTCTTTATCAATCACTGTTGCATTTTCAAAGTCCTTAATACTCTTTGAAAGCCAATACTTGGTTTTCTCTACAATTTTCTCATCCTTGAGGGGAAACAAGTCATTGGCATGATACTGCACTAAATATGAATCAGATAAATCACAAATTAGAGTTCTGTGTGTTTCTTATTTTAAACCGGAGAAGGATGCAAAAAACAAAATGGAAAATAAACGGGGCATAATAAATGTTTTTCTTACAAAATCAGCTTGGATGACTGTTGTTGTACTCTCTTTGTACTCGTCATAAATCATGCTCAAGTCAAAAAAGGTCCATGCACAAGAACCCTCAAATCCAGAGGAAACGTTGCTCGCGTTTGGAAGGTTAACCTGTTCATTCATTCATCATGAAGTTTTCTGATAAAACTTTTACTTTCTGAAAAATTAACCAAGTACTAGTCTACCTCGTAATAGCTCAAAGAACAACAATTATACTTCATCTGCTCAAAGAAATGTTAAATGCATGAATTATAAGTGAAAGGCAAATTTCTTCGATTCCTCTGTGCAGAGTGAGAAGTAATGAAACTGCGCATACCTTCCTATCAAGTTCCACCTTAACAGTAAGTAAATCAATGCTGTTCAAGTTCATAATTTTCAGAAACTCTTCTCTGGTACATAATACTGCACTACAGAAAATATAACTGCCAGTTACAAGGATAGAGCAAAATCGAATCGATTCTTGAATTTAGTTATCATGATTGATGCTATTCTATCAGAAAGTTAAGCATAAGTCAGATGGGGAAAAGACCTGGGACATGGAAGTAAAAGTTTGATTCGGCATACCTGTTCTGTACGATTCCTGTAAGGTAGAGATTCCAACAGCCAATATCATAGCATCAGCCTTAAAACTCTCTTTCCCACAAACTACTTCAGTTATGCAACCTGTTTCCTCATTGAGTGTGACATCTGTGACTTTTCTACCCTCCAGAAACCTACAACCTTGGGTTTTCAGGGATTCTATCCACGGCTGAAATATTTGTTCCCTTACTGTTCCACAACACAATGCCAAATCGAAGTGCTTCTGTATCAATCCATAAAAAGGTAGTGATAAATTCATAAGCAAACAATTTTTGAACAAAGTAAAAGAAAGATGATCGTTTACAAACAACAGAATGCATAGTAGTGTAATCGGCAGTTTACTCTTCCTTGTGCCTAGAAAAAGTACAAATATCATGAAGTCAATGTTTATAATGCCAAGATCCGAGTTTTTATTTCTGTTAAATTGAAAGGGAAGGACTATGATGAACTTGGAAGTCCAGAAAAGCCTTATCCAACTGACCTGATTAGCAAGAACGAAATAGTATAGCATTCCTATAGTTGCAGCAGCACTACACTGCTCTGCTGGGGCAAACAAACCCACTTGAAGTAAGGGATCAAAAACATCTCGATATAGCCTTTCCGAGCAGCCAAATTGTTTAAATAGCTCCCTTGCAGTAACTGAACGTTTTGAATTACTTGAACAAATTATATCAATTCTATCCACGAGTGTAATTAATTTAGGCAAAGAAAAATATATAAACTTTCATTACTGGCATCGTATTTTCTCCAGGCAGCATCAGTGTTGTCAAAGTCAATTACTGCAACCAGAAGTATACACAGGTTAACGAATAAATGAAGTTACGTAACTTATCACCATTGCTTAGCGAGACAAGACTGCATTTGAACGTACCTGCAGCCATCAGAGGAAGTGATGTCAACTGATCAATCAATGGTATTCGAACGAACTGCAGTGGCAAGATAAAGTGGATAGTGTCCATCTGATAGTACACATAGGCTACTGATTGAAGTCAATAGGATTCCTTCAGGGATTTATACCTGAGTGTTAAATAAGGTTCCAAATGGAGTTGGCAATTGTAGTGCATCTTCGTATATGGGATATTTAACCTGAAAAATAAATCTATCCAAATATGATGGACCCATAGAAACAAATGCTGAAAAGTTCGTCTACATTTCGTCAAACTAGAAAAAAATAAATAAAAAATTGAGAAGAGTGCAGCTTACCTCCAACCCTTCTTCAGAATATTGTGCAGACTTTGTCCAGCTTGTGAAGGGCTTAACACCAATCTCATCAACAAGGTTAAATATATTTCTGTAAGGATACCAGAAACCTAGTACCATTTACAAGAGTTCATTAGGATCAGTGCGATAGCAGCAATGAAATGCTTTTATTGATAGTCGCAAGTGGTAAGTAGAAGTCAAGAACACAATCAATTACCTCGTATACCATAATCATCAGGACTAAGGGACTTATTTTTATATCCAAATTCATAACCACCTCCAAGAACTGTGACATCAAAGCCCTGAAACCAAATTTCAAAACAACAGTTCATATAACACAAAGATTAATATCAACAAACTCACAAATAGAATGCACAGGCAAAACTCCTTTCACATAAGTTAGATTGGACAATACTAAACTGCAGAATCAAGAAAAATAACTTGAAATTTATGTAACACGTCATATCATATCATATGTTTTTGAAAGATTGAAAGAACCTGTTTGCACAGGTGGTTGGCAGCGCCAAGGCCTGCCCAGCCAGAACCAACAACGATAACTTTCTTCTTGTTCTGACGTTCAGCGTAAACAGGTTGATCCTCTGCTCTACAGAAAAAACCGTGTCTAAATGTATGATTCGGAAGGGCAGGCAACACCCTACAACAACCCAACATGTTTCTCAGCAACTGCTTTCTTTTCTAATTTTGCATCGGCTACTTGTGTGCTGCTGGGGGGTTTCAACAAAAATGGAGACGGAACAGGTCCTAGCCACAACCACAACCACAACCGAGTCTTATGATTTTTTTGGCTTTTGAAATTTGATCATTATGGATTGTATTTTCCTAATATATTTTTTTCTTTATCTGGGAAATTAAGACCAGATAAAAACTTAGCCTACAACCACAAAAATAAATATATAAATAAATGAACAAGCAATCAAAACCAGACCAGCCGGGTGGGCTCTACTTCAAATAATACACATACTGTCCAAGAAAGTCCACGTCATCTCTTTGCTTCCGCACTACGCTCAAAACCAAATGTTAATACTTTCTCTCCTTCACACAAACACAAACTTACAAATGGCGACAGCCCTGTCAGTCCGGCCCAGCCGCGCTATTTTGGGCGGAGACCCGTTTTACCCTACACGGTCTAGACCTCGCCGGCTCGACGCACCGGCCGTAATTAAGATACTCAAGTCCCACCACCGCTACCCGTGGGGACAACGGCGCATGTTAGCGACGGCGGTTCGAGCTGGGTCTCGAGCCGATGACTCGGCGCCGTTTGAGATGTCAGTGGAAAATGCTCTCAAAGTGTTGGGCGTCTCTGAGGGAGCTTCGTTCGATGATATTCTCCGAGCCAAGAATTCAATCATTGCTACCTGTAAAGATGACCAAGAAATGATTGCGCAGGTTCTAATTTCGATAAGTTTTCAACTTTCCTCTTAAATATATGGGAGGATGGATTATTTCCATTTCTTTTTTGGGATATTTAGAATTGGATTGCATGGATCCTCTTTTATTTTATTTATTTTTAACTATGTTTTATTAAAGACCATTTTCAAAATTAAACAACTCGAAATTGTTTGCCATGGGGACATCTATACATTGTTATCTTCACTTGATCGTCTGTCATTAGTTTGCTTGGGAAAATTGGCAGAGTTCGTTATAGTTGGATCTCAACTTCAACCAAATTCAACACACAATTGAATGCATTCAGCTGGGAATCAATAACCCGAGCTGTAAATCTATTATTTGAAATGAAATTACAATGCAACAGTGAAATGTAAAGAGAAAGGGGGATGGGAAACGCAGAAAATCAGAGAAATAAGAAGTAAGAAGAGAATTCAGATTCAGAGAAATAAAAGAGGACTGGAAACAGATTTAGAGAAATGAAAGAGAAGAAGAAGAAGGAGGAAGAACAGAATAGTGAAAGAAGAACAGAGAAGAAGGAGAAAGAAAGGCATGAAGAGGGGAGGAAACGGGCTGCAAGCCACTGTTCAATTCATCAAATTCATCGTTTACAAAGTTTCAATACAACCTATATAGACCAAAACAATAAAGGGCTTTGGGCTAGCCCACAATGAAACAAGCCCAACCAGATAAAAGTAAATGGGCCAATATATACCAAGTCAGCCCATGACATCCCTTCCCCTTAAATTAACCTTGTCCTCGAGGTTCAAAGTGGGGATGTCTTCTTTGTATGTTGTTAGTAGTTGTCCCATTCTCTTCACCACCCTTAGATTAAGCAGGTAATGCAAGGCTGCATATGCCTCATTCATTTCATCTTCTTAGACATGATTTTGAACTGCATATCTGAAGCATCCTGTAGCTTTAGCCAAACTATTGGATCTGTTTCATCCAATTCCATACCACAGTGATCATCAACAGGCTGATTCGAAAATACTATACACTAGGCAGTATAGGAAGTAATGCTCTCAGAGCTTCCTCCACACGGTCAACACAGCATGCATTCCCAATCAAAACTTGTCCAGTGTCTAAATAGCTCCATCCACCCCTATGAACTATGGTTGGAATGGACCGCACCATATTGAAACTAAGCAATCAATTTTAGCATCATGCCACAATAGTTGTGCTTCTCGTACAGTAAAATTAGTAGGATTATTTGCTACAATAGCCCCATCTTGCCAGCGATATACACCACCAGTGTAATCATCTAGATAATATGACGATGTAGATGATGCTCTTATAGCTTGCCATATGTGATGCTTACAACTCTCAATGGAAGCACCAATGGGCTTTTTGGTGCCATTTTTTGTCCGATGATTGGCAAGGAACTTTTCTATGCAATAAACAAATTTTGTTCCATTGAAAGTGTCCCTACTAATTTCGACACATGTTGACTGTCCAAGGCTAACGGCAGTAGTTTGAAAAACCGCTTCATATGTTAGTGTGCCAGATCGTGAGATAATTCCAATATGTCCTAGTTTGTGAAAGTGTTCAGGCATAATTCTAATCTTACACTCCCCAGGCTTGATAATTCCAGGACAATTTGGACCTATGAGCAGAGTTTTTTACTGCTTGTTGAGAACAGCCTTGACAATAACCATGTCATGTTGAGTGATTCCCTCAGTGATGCAAATAGCCAAATCTAGCTCAGCTTCCCTTGCCTCTATATTAGTTTTAGTCGTAAAAGGGGAAGGAGCACAAATTACTGTTGCATTAGCCTTTGTTTCAGCTTTTGCCTTCGGAACTTCATCTCCATCGTACTCTAGTAGTCGTTCAAGTGGAGATTCCCTAGAAAAAACCACATTCCCATTGCTTTTTCCTCTCAACCTTTGGTGTAATTATAACCTCAGTCTTATTTTCATGATAAATACCACTACTAAGAGTCGATCTCCAGTTTCCTCAGTTTTCATTTCCATGTCTTCTTCCTAAGTGTTGTTTTCAGCAAATCGTCTACAAACCTCACTTGAAAACATGTCCCAATCAGCATTGGGATGGTTGAAAATGAAGACATAAAACCATTTGTACTCTTTCCCCTTCAAATACATTTCAGCTTTTCCCACTCTCATTTCATTAGCTACTTGATGTATCTGGAAATATTTTTGGGCTTACCTCAACCATTCTCTAGGACCTTCTCTATTAAAATAAGGGAAATCAATTTTAGGGAGTCTACCACTTCCCTTAAATTCAAATCTAGCATGAGGATCATTCTCATTACTACTATCTACTTGTGTACAAATCACACTCTCAAACCTCAAATTAATAACCGACCCTTCTATCCCTTTGTTCTTATGTTCTGTATTTAGATCTAAAGACATTTGGGCCATCATGTCCTTATGATCACTACCTGGAACTATTACATTCACTGCACTGAAGTTTTCTTCATCCTTTTCAACACCTAAATCAAATTCCAACTTTTCAAAATTACTCTCCACAATAGTTTCCGTCTCAACAACATGCTTGGTAACTACAACAATTAAATCATCGTCTCTCTTCAAATCGTAAGAACTGACCTGCTTTACCAGTTTCTCTTCCGATTTAGAATCTAAATCATTCATTTGCATTTTAGAAGAGTTGGCTATTTCTAGGTGATCGTTGGACTGGTCTTTGGAGGCTGATTTAGCCTCAATAATTTCAGTCATCATGGAAATCAGTAGCTCATGCTTCCGATTGATTTCTTCCATTATGCTATCCAATCGAGAGATACCCAAGAACTGTAGCTGCTCTGATACCATTTGTTATGGTTGGATCTCAACTTCAACCAAAATCAACTAAATTCAACATAACAATTGAAAGCAAACGGCTGAGAATTAATAACCCAAGCTGCAAATCTACTAATTGAAATGAAATTACAATGCAATAGGGAAATGTAAAGAGAATGGGGGAGGGGAAATGCAGAAAATCAGAGAAATAAGAAGTAAGAAGTAAGAAGAGAATTCAGATTCAAAGTAATAAAAGAGGACTGAGAAACAGATTTAGAGAATGAAAGAGAAGAGGAAGAGGAAGAACAGAATGGTGAAAGAAGAACAGAGAAGAAGGAGAAAGAAAGGCAGGAAGAGGGGAGAAAACGGGCTGCAAGCCACTGTTCAATTCATCACTTTCATTGTTTACAAAGTTTCAATACAACCTATATAGACCAAAACAATAAAGGTCTTTGGGCTAGCCCACAATAAAACATGCCCAACTAGATAAAAGTAAATGGGCCAATATATACCAAGTCAGCCCATGACAGTTTGTTCATAATTGCTTTAATACTCTGTTCTCGATCTACTTTAATCCACAATAACTCTAGAATATTCTGTTGTCCATTTGATTTTTAATTCTGCAGTCATGAGTTGATAAATTTTGAAGTGAAAAGTGTTTACCTGTCAGATATGAGACTGTTAAATCTACTGGTATAAATACTATGTGTCGCGAACTTCTTTGCATACAACATTCTAGCTTCTGATTCTTTGAGAGCAACAAGCCCTCAACCCTTGTCCCAAATGGGTCGAAGTATGTATATATATTCGCACGTGCTTGTGTTTGCAAACACAAGCTGAAGTTTCAAGTGGCTACCCTATTACAAGCTTGCATTGCAGCCTAACTTCTTCTTATATTATATATCATGTATATTGATTAACATATTTTAGATGAACTTTGCTTGCAGGCATATTACTTGTCTATTGCATCTATTCTTGTGAATATATAGATCATATTTAGGTTTCAAATAATGGCTGTGGTTTTCCAGTTTTTCACCAATATTTGCTTGGATTGATATGGTTTATCGTTATCAGGTAGAGGCTGCATATGATATGCTGCTCATGCAGAGGTTATCACAAAGGAGAGCAGGGAAAGTTGTAAATAGCAGTATCCGTTTTGCCGATGCAAAACCGGTAAATGCTCCAAGAATGGGGTCAATGCCCAAGTGGCTGCAGACTACTACCAGAAGCTCTCCTATCTCAGTTGAAGCACCATCTACCAGCGAGTTAGGTGTGCAAGCTGGGGTCTACGGAGCTTTAATGGTCTTAACATATTTTAATGGAGCTTCAGCATCTTCAGTGGCCCCATATTCTGGTGCTGATGTCCCGGGGCTGATTTTAGCCACTAGTTTCGGAGCATCCTTGTACTTCTTAACCAAGAAAAATGTCAAGTTAGGTAAGGAAATAACATGAACCTTCCCATTAGCCATGAATTGATGCAGTGTTTCTCTTTTATATTTCTTTTCTTTTAATCATGGTCGTTAACTGTGACTGCCTGGTGGTTTGCATTTCATGACCCGCAGAAAGAATAGTTATGCAGAACTTATCCTAACATGATCATTTGTATAGATTCCTATTTACATGGATGTGTGGTTATGCATCTTTCATGCCAGAACTGGACAAATGCAATTAATTTCTTTTTGGCAGAAGAAATAAATTCTAAGCAAAGATTCCATGTGGATATGCTATTAGGATTAGAGAACTAGGATTATGTAGTGAAACATAGGTTATTTGCTTGCGTGCATGAGCATACCTAGAAAGTAGTAATTGAAGGGAAAAATGTAGTAGAGACACAATGGTTGGATAACATGCTTTTCAATTTGCGAATGTGAATGAATGAACAATTTGTCGACTCAAGACTTAATGTTCGTACCTAGCCATTCCAAGGCCCAATTTTTGCATGTTTGTGAATAACTAATTGTAAGTCATAGCCCTTATTTGCTCCCCATTATTTTCAAAATACATTTTTCTTTCTTTTCTTTTGAACCACACATTCTTCAATAAAATAATATTACAATCAAACTCAGGGTGTGTTTGAGCCACATTATTTTGGAAGAATGTATTTTGAAATAGTAGATTGATGAAGAATATGTGGTTGAAAAAAAAAAAGTTATTGATGTGATGGAAAATATTATTTTATTGAAGGATGTGTGGTTGAAAATAAGTAAAACAATGAGAATGAAAATTTTAATGTGGCTCAAACAGGGGCTCAAAAATTTTCCTTATTTTTTAAGCACACCTTCCCAATTTAAATACTATTCCAAAATGCATTTTGAGCAAAAAATTAGGCTCAAGCAGGCTCATAGTAATCCTTATATTTACAGAAACCACTTAATTATGTATGAGTTTAGAAAAAACAATACCCTAATTTGCATCATTTCTCGTGCACCTTCATATGCTTCAAGTTTGAGTCCATTCAGGTTCATGTGGTTCTTATATTTTGCATAAAAAATTGTCATTCCAATAATTGCAAGACAGATTCACTTGAAAGCCGAACACTCATTCTGTGGCGGCTTTATTTTTCAGTTATGGACACGAGTCTCTTTGTGTTGTGCATGTGATGAACCCGTGTAATAGCTAATTTCGGATTGTTTTTAAGATTGCTGATCGCATCCTTATATTTAGAGTTAGGATTTATGTATTGCATATTATAAGACTCTTGATTTTCGAACATATTGTAGTTTCTAGAACATAGGTATTAGCCCAATAAGGAAAATGTCTTGCAGTGCTTGGGTGCAAAAGGCATCAATTTTACTTCTTCCATTAACTTCTGTTGTACTTGTGGACATAAAACTTTGGATTGTTGATATTTAACATTTATTCATCCGCGTTCTTGGGTGCGTGGAAAGATAGCAAGAATATAGCTGTTCCTTACCATGGACAGTGATTGAATCAAGATAATTTTGGTTTCAAGTTAAATGATCTAGGGTGATGATAGTGCTCAAGTTTGTTATATTTCAGTTTATTATGAGAAGTAATTGGGTGTTTTGCTTTTGCAGGGAAGGCAGCTGTCATAACAATAGGAGGCCTTGTGACTGGTGCTGTGGTGGGTTCAGCAGTTGAAGGTTGGTTGCAAGTTGACATTGTCCCTTTTCTTGGCATTCACACACCAGCTACGATTGTGAGCGAATTTGTACTCATTTCTCAATTTTTGATCTCCTTGTACCTAGTATAAGACTAGGCAAAACCTTATTACGACTTGAGCTTGGGAGGTCAATTGTCTTTGCTAGGTTTTACAGATGCCTATTTAGGATGTGTATTTCCTTAACTTGTACAAATATAATGTTCAAGAAGCTAAATTAGTGAATATATATTTACTTTGAAATGTTATGTTGCATGGAATTTGAAGAGTTCTTCAATCCATAGAATGGCCATCTTTATGCTTGACTTCACCTTTGGAGAGCAAGCAGTGGTCAATGATACGTGATATTTAAACTCAGCTGTTGAAGAAGCCCTGGTAGAAAAGCCAGGCACAGACCTACCTAATCGTTATGGGAATTGTTGGAAGTGGAAGTAGGGTTTGTAGCTACGACAGGAGGTGATTGTAGTCACGATTGTTACATGTTGATTGCAGTTACAGGAAAAGTTGAGAATTGCTTGAGTAAAGGAAATTTGTTAGGGTTTAAGGAATAGGTTGGGCACAAGATGAGATGATTTGTTGATGCCTTTTAAAGCTTGAGAAAGAGGTTGATCGTCCTCCCCTAACATCAATTTGAATGTTTCAGAAAGTGAAGGCCGCAATATATAGAATTGAGAACGTTACGGATAAAAGTGTACACTTTCTAGGAAGGCATGATTCAGTTGATAAAATAGAAAAAATTTCATCAAACCTTGCTCTGTTTAACCATCGGCTCAAGTCCTGAGAAATAAAAACTTGCATAGCAAATAAAAATATTTAAAAAATAAAATAAAAAATAACTGAGGGCTAAATACCTTAATAAACGAAGCCAAGTGCAAACCAATGACCCTAGAAATCCATAAGTAATTGTCTCAGCGAGTTGCTTTGACACAATCTAATGTACAACACTTCGTACTCAAGTCCTAGAACACGAAAAGTCTACACAACAATTTTCACATCATCTGCTGCCATTTTCTTCAACCTGAGAACGCTCAATACGGGATTGTTTGCCAACTTTCTCGGCATTCACATTGTTTAACAGGTCACTGTACATACTTAAAGCAGCCTTGGGGAATTCTTTCATAGACTCGAATACTATATTAAATCCTGTCTAAAACCCATTTAGCGTGATCCTATCAGTTTCTTGCACGCAGTTATGGTGTTTTTCCTTCTCTAGGTCCACCCTTTTTCGGAAATTGTCCAGCGTATCCTTCTTTTCTTTAAAGTATTCATCCTGATGCTTAATCGCTTGCTGCCAACCAATCACGACAATCACAAGCGGTGGGAGCCCATTTGAATAACATGGAGTCGAACTCGTGCCTCTAGAGTAGAATTCAACTTCAGCGACAACAAACTTAGCCAACCATCCATGGAGGGCCTTGATGGAGGCTTTCTGGACTGTAATGTATTCTGTGAAACACGCACGCCAATTCAGAAGCTCAGTTTCCAGCTGAAGTGGAGCACGCCGGTGAGATTCATTGCAAAATTTTCCATACGAAGGGAAGGTAAAATGTGTTGGAAAATTCGAAAATGGTTGAAACCAATTTAAGTGATTGTTTAAGTGGAATTTTTTGTTTTGGTGAATGAGAAATTAAAACTTAAAATGTTTAAATGTTTGAAATTGTTGGAAATTATATAAAATATTGTGGAATTTTCTAGAGAATGAGTAGATGAAAAGATGAGTTTTTTCATATGGATCATGACTCTTGGAGATCATGACTCTTGGCATTATTTTTCAATAATGGTCTCTTTATTTAGAAATGTAATTGTGCCTCTTTATAGAGAAATTTAAATTTCAAGAGATGTGTCTCTTGGTATGGATGTTCCAACTACTATATATATAGATCTCCATGTGTTTGGATTAACAACAAGAAAGAGGAACAATTCAATTGATAGTTCCATATCATTCCATTTCATGTTTTACTTTAGTTCTGCATAAACCACTTTGTAGAATTGATTATTTCTTACATCAAAATCATAGTTATGGTAGAGAGGGAACTCCGTTCGAGTTCGTTGGTTTAAACCATTTTGAGTGTTCCTATGGCTTGACGTGGTCGTTGTATCTTGGGAGATGATTGCCGGAAAACCGTTAGCACCGATGCGGGGCAAATTCATCTTAAGGACAAAGTGTCAAACACTTGCCTCGATCGATCGCATCACTTGCATCTCATCTTTCTTCTTTCTGATTTCATTCTAATTTAATATTCAGATTTCGGAATGTAACTAATATTCTTTTGATTTCATGCAAGGTTTGAAATAAAGAATGACACGCGTTCAAGATTGGAAAGTGATGAATCCATATTCATATATTGGAAGTCGTTAATCACTATTTTGTCTTCTCAAATCAGATTTCAGTAAATCAAATGATATTTCGATTTTATGATATGTTATTGATTAATATAATATGCACACTATCGGTGTAATATCTCCAACAAAATGTTCCACTTCTTGTACGATCTTGTTCTGTATTACATGGCACTCCAACATAATTTTCCAGGTATTCATCATGCTGCAGTTAAAGGGAACAGAACAAGGTAATTCAATAATCAGATTACATTTTTTCTTTTCTTTTCTTTCTTTTCTTTTCCTATTTTAGTAGGTTCAAATGTTCTCAGTTCTTACCCTTGTAGAAGTTCATTGACTTGGGGCAACAGTTCTTCGTCTCTGAGTTTCTCAATTTTGTTCAACATTGTTGTAGAAGTTCATTGACTTGGGGCAACAGTTCTTCGTCTCTAAGTTTCTCAATTTTGTTCGACATTGTTTTAACAATTCAAATTGCAACAAGGATCCTGCTATATAAATCTTTAACTGCTTCTCTAGTCTTGTCCACTGCGAGTCCTTCATCTCTTCTAGCATCTTGATTTCTTAGTTGATTGCATTTGCTTTTGTTGGGTTTTGATACCCAATAAATTCGAAACGATGATGTAAAATCGATTTTAGTGTTTGGATTAAACTTCATAGGTCTCGATCGATGATTGAAGTGAAATGTCGACACCACAATGAACGAACCACTCCGACAACCTAAGTGGGCCATTTGAAGTAGTCTAATCTCATTAGTGTTGCTCATGGTCCGGCCCATTACTTTAGACGGCTTTAGGGTTGAAAGCCCATTGTTGTTGTTCATTGGGCCTCTTGTGTTTGACCTTAAAGCCCACTTACCTTATGCTTATAAGTGGGGCGATTTTCTTGTGTTTAGCCCTTGTGTGAACGTTGGAGCCGTGAGTTTTGAGGAGAGAAAAGAGAGTTCTTGCTTTGTGCTTCCTCTTGCTTTGAGCTACCTTCTCATTCTCTTTCGTTAGCCTTAGTGGCTAGTTCGGGCTGCCAAAGATCATTCACACTCAGCCTTTGTTGCACCTTGGAAGCAACCAAGTGGTGGTGGTCTTAGTTTGGAGTTTGGTTGTCATTGTGGTGTTGATTGATTTTTTTCGAACTCGGTATTTGGGTGAAATTGGAAGCCAATAATCCTACAGCTTTCATATATTCTGCGAATTCTATCCCCATCCTAAAGGTAGTACGGAGTCAGGTACTAGAAAGTAGAAAACTAGCGAAAAGAATGAATGAATAATTTACAAAAAACTAAGACAATTATTGCCATACAAACATCATATGACAATTAATATGAATATATGATTACATCCCAAAGAAGTATCAAAGAATTTGCACATTGGCTATTTACCTTAACCTATTCGTAAAGTTTCTTTTCCCAAGCACATAGCCTTCCTAGTGTCAGTAAATGGGCTTCCAGAAGCCATTCCTCCATAATCATCAAATAGATCATTGTTAAATTCTTTACATGTCGACGAGTTCTTGGAACTAGACACAAGAGACTATTGCATGATGAAGAACGAGAAGCAAACCTCCATGGAATAGCTTGGATTAGTTTAGTTGAGTTCTCTGCATCCACGTGAGATATGTGAATGAATTCAAGCAGAAGAGGCTAATTGTAGTAGGAATTCTGATAAAAAAAGGGGGAGAATTAACACACCAACAATGAACTGAATGTGTGTACCTACCTACATGCCTTCAAAAAAGAAGTAGCTTTTAAGCTACTTTTAAGCACAGGTTGTGAATTGAAAAGGGAAAATTAAATGCTTCAAACTGAAATCCAAGAAAGCAGTAGAACTGGAAAATGAAGTCCTCACTGCATATACAAAATTCTAATTTGGGCAATGCTATATGTACATAATTTTTTTTACCTAATCTTCTACCTACACTTACAATAGAGTGTGGGGACCACATTTTTTTGGAATTTTTATTCATGCGGGCCCTGCACACATGTGAGATGATGTAATATTTTCGGTAAGGAAAATTATGTATAAATAGTTTGGGTTGTGCTAGGTGTACACCCAATCCATTACCTAATGGATTACACCCCCTCACATGGAGGGGGGCCCACAAATATTTTATTGTGTGGGCCCTCCTCCATGTGAGGGGGGTGTAATCCATTATGTAATGGATTGTATACATTTAGACTAATCCAAATAGTTTTATCCTTCTAATTTTGCTTTGCAGGCCTCAACAAATATGTGGATACACAGACCAGATTAGACTGTACATGAACCCTATTGCACTCGAGCATCTTGGATACATCCTTACCAGAATCATAAGCCCTAACAAAATGATCTTCAGTATCTTTTAGTGCTTCCAACAACTCCATCCCTCTCACTGGTATATCAATGACAGTCGAACCCTTCTGCAACCACCTTCACGGCCTCAATCTCAGACTCATCGTGCTTTTCTTCCTCTCCAGAATTCGTGTCTCTCCTTCCATTCTTTCCCCTCCTCCCCCTTCTTCTTCAAGTTCTGGAATTCCTTCTTGTTCCCTTACTATCCTCAAATCCTCCTCAGAGATCCTATTATAACAAATATCTCTGGCCTTATAACATTAGTAAAAGGGTTAAAGAAATCCCAACCTAAATCTCTTGCATGTGTGAAGGCATTGTCTGAGGCATGTCCGTGTAAAGATACCCACAAACCTGTGGCTTCTCCCTCTCTCTCTCTCAATCTTTTTCTCATATTCTTCGTCAGAAGATTCTGAACTTGTTGAAGAACTACAGGATTCATGAGCAATGGTTGCTTTGGTGGGTTCAGATGGTGTTTGCTGGAGAAACAAAGGATTAGAAACCACATTTTCTTTTGGACGAGTGGGGGAAGAAGGTGATGGAAATGTGATGGAAAATGGCGCCAGCGGCGAAGAATGGCGAGCAACAAAAAGACTAATGGCGGCGGAGACACCAAAAAGCGATTGGCAGTATCTGTAATGTGCCTCAGCCAACGCATATTTTCTGTCTACAGCTAACTTTAGTTGATGTTTTCTCTCCCTAAATGCAGCCACCACCTCTTCTTCTTCTAACTTTGAAGCAATACACCCCATTTTTCCCTCTCCTAAAAAGGTATCTAGAACACAAAAAAGGTGGGTTCTTGCCTTCTTGGAGAAAAATCTGGGTTTAAAAAATGGGTTCTTTTACAGAGATTTAGAGAACAAACGTAAATTTGAATCAACCCGTTTCTTAGCTGGACATTTAAAGAAGATTTCTGCTACCAAAACGCCTTGGAAAAACAACTAGTTAGGCATTTCATTTATCCTAAGAGATAACAGAGTCAGGAGGTTAAGATAAGTTACAGTTGGTCATGATGCTTTAAATTATGGTTAAATTTCCCCAATAACTATGACTGTTTGTAAATTCATTTTTATCTGCAATATTGACCGACTGGCGACTGCTGAGAAACAATAAAATAAAAAGAAAAAATCCTTCAGTGGGAGATTATTGCAATGTGTTTTACATGGTGATCACTACGATACTTGCCACTTGCTTGGGGCCAATTCTTGGATCTATTATTAAGAAGTATAACGGAGAATATCCATTTAGCCCAAGAACTCTTGAGATAATATAATGAGGAAATTACAAAAAACCAGTGGTTTAAACTTTCTAATTCAAAATTCAGGTCCAAGGTTTTTTAAATAAAAAATCAGGTATGAATTAAATATTTAAATAATATTATAATACTAATATTTCAAACCCTAATTCATTTTCAATCCATATTTCTCTCTCTTTCAACATTTCTACAGCTCACTGCCCTCTCTCTCTCTC